AATTATGGCATTTTATTGCTATCGGATATCGATTGATACCGAAATAATGAAACAAAGTTGATCTGCATATGGTAAATGAGAATCTTTTCTCCAAATTTGAAGTCTACGGAACTTAGAGTCTGCGAACTAAGGGCTTACACAGACCGATAGATACATTTATGCTTGATGGGATCAGAGATGCTTCCTTCTGCCCGTTACATAATTTTGCACAACTCAATTCCATTTCAGGGCATGAAATCAATAATGTGGAATACTTTGCAAATCTCTCCAAGCCCAGCTATAAACAAATATATATATCATTTCAGTAAGTGCATAAAAAATTCGTCATGCATAAAATATTTGTGTATTCTTTGGCTTGTTTGCAGCTATTTTTGTTGTTGTTACTGTTGTTGTTATTATTGCAATTCGTGTCTCTGGCATCGCAGACAAAATTGAAAACGTTTGTAAATACTTTGAAAGCATTTGCAGCAATTGAACAAATACAAAATAGTTTTTTGCCGCCGCATTTGGGGGGAATTGTGAAAAATAAAATAATATATTTACTTGTGCACACACAGATACAAAGAGAGAAAGAGAGCCTACTTGGCTTTTGAAAGCTAGCAGTCAGCTCAGTTGTGTTTCTGTTTCTATTTATTTTTATTATTTGGTGGCTGTTTCCTTTCGGCCTTTCCTCCAGTTGTTGCAATTGCAGTTGCGGCGTTGTAAATGACCTATAAATAAAGTTGGCAGCCAAGCACAACTGCGGCCAAAAATGGCATCAGCGAAAATTGTGCAATAAAAGCGCATAACCTGCAAATAATAACTAACAACAGCAAGAGCAACAACTCCAATATTTATTACAAAAAGAGGCAAAACAAAAAACAATCTCGCAATTTCCTAGTCAATTGGCTATTTCCTTGACTGGCCAAGCGCAACTGATTGACTTTTGAACTTAGCCAATTTTGAGGCTGCTAAAAATGTGTTGAGTGAGAAATTTTTAAGATATATAATTACTAAATTTGTGGTTTAAACTATGTAATTTTTGTGGAATGTTGACAAACAAATATGTAGTGCTGTGCATGAATATGTGTATGATATAAAGCTGCACATATATTTAACCTTTAACTTCCACTTGTTATTAATTTTAATTGTTCATAGTTGTTACATTATTTTTCATAATTTTAAATTATTTTCCAACATATTTCGCACATAAAATTTAAGAGTGGCATTAAAAATCAGTTCTTATAGAATAAGGCATTTTCCATGTATTTTTCGTGTTGTTCTTAAAGAGTTTACAACCCTAAGCAGTTTATAGCTGAATTGCTGGAAGCTAGTGTTAAATTTCCAGTGCTCAACAATTGATGATGGTCTCTTCAGTCTGGTCAACTTGTCCAGCCCAAGGCTCCTCCTGGCTACCGACTGTCCAACAAGTGCCAGTCAGCCAGCCGAGCAGCTCAGCTCGTAAACTGAGCTTCTAACAAAAAAACACACAAACTAAAAGAGCACAACAAGCTGGCAATAGACACACACTCACACACACACAATAGGGGATGTGTGTGTGGGTTATTGCCTGAAGTATTTCTCAGATAGAAGCGAGCGCATTATGCTTATATCATAAAACAAAGAATTTCGGTTATTTTTGCAGAGCTTCTCTCTCTTTCTCTTGGGTCAGGTCAGGCATTGGGTTGCGCACTGTCGCACTTAATGGCAAAAGCTTTTATCAGGTCCGATTACACAATTTAAAGCAACAAAACTGTCACTTTAAGTGCAATACAGAACGTGGAGGGGAGGTGAGTGGCTGTCTCTAGCACCTGAGATGAGTTGAGCCGAGCTGAGTTGAGCTGAAGTCCCATTGAAAAGTCCTGTGGTTGCCAGACCGCAACATTGTTGCCGAAAACCAACGTAACCCAAGCCAAGACAGGCACAGCACACAGCTGTCGCCCCTTCCCTACCAAGCCACCGCCTGCCACCCCTCATCCATCCTGTTGGGCAGTGTGTAAGCGTAACTCAGCTTAAATAAATTTAATTTAATTACCAGTAAAAACCGCATGAGTGACTCCGGCTAGATGAGTGAGCCGTGCAAGGACGAGCTATCTCACTTCCACATCCACTTTTACAGCCCCACCCCGACCACCCCCGTCACACCTCTCATTTTCTAGTTGCACAGACACTCTAGAATTTTACCTGGCTTTACAGAGAGTGTGTGTGTGTTGAGTGTGTGTGTTTATTTAGGAAATAAAATTTTTGTGGCAACACATTCTTGGATTTTATTACAGAGTGCGGCGGCACGTTGAGTGTTGCCAAGCCCCTCCACGCCTCTCTCTTAGCCATACCGGAGGTCAACATGCATTTTATCATTGTGACGAAGCACTTGACGATAAATAACCTTAATGTAGTGGCCGTTGCTGTAGCTGCTGGGGTGTACATGTTTAATTACAAGCGGCGGCAGCTCAAATTTCACATTTCAAAGCATACTTTTAGGCGCCGCGGAAAAAAGTGCCCGAGAAAGTGTTGCCGAAGCAAACGGGCCAACTTTGTGCACACTCAACACTCACCACTCACCACTCGACCACTCGTTGCACTCACACCACGCACACACACACACACATACTCACAGCAGTGCACTCACTGAGCAGCGTAGTTGCATAGTTGCATAGTTGTTGGGTTTCGGGTCCCTGGCACAAGGTCAGGTGACTCAAAACAGGGCTGCACTCAGCGCTCAGCGCTCAATGCTCGACTCTCGACGCTCAACGTCACGATTATTATGCAAATTGGCCTTGCAGTGTTTGCACACGTAAGCAAATACTTGAAAAGCGGCTTGGCTTAGGGCTTTGCCCACTCGAGATGCGGAGCGTGGGTGTGTGTGGAGATGTGTGGGGTAAGTGATGTATTGGGAGGGGGGATAAAGTAAGAGTAAGTGAGAACACTACAATAGAAAACTGAGTTTGTTTTTCAGTAAGAGTAAGCGAGTGCACAACAAAAGAAAACTACATTTTCTTTTTATTCAACAGTCTTAGATTGCATATTAATATTATATATACAGTATTCCCATTTTCAATTTCAACTTGAAAACGCCAAGTTAGATTTTTGTTACACATATTATGGCATAAACCTTATTCTACCTGGCTATGCTGTGCCAGATCCTTCATATTTTCTTAAATGATTACATATTTTAAAGAGATTGAGATATGAATTTGTTGAGGGATTTAAATCTGTTATGCCTATCTACGATTGTCTGCTAACATCTTTTTTTGTATCATTCAAATGAATGAATAGCGCCAGTTCAAATATTTTCGACCGAGTCATTATCAATAAGAAAAACTTTACTATAATGTTCATTTAATATATTTTAAAGACTGGTTTCGGGGAGAGAGTCACACAGCGAGAAGTTTAAAACTGACTTAATTGATTCACGCCTCACTTTAAAAAAGTTGGCCAGGAAAATACGCATTTGAGTAAATGATATTTTTGGCATTTAAAAATATGTCCTACATGAAGATGGTCAGACATAAACAGATATGAAAAATGTTGTTTTTAAAATACATTTCTGTGATACTCAAGTGGGCAAAAGTTGCAAAAGTCATGAAGGAAAAGTAATTATTTTTGAAGTACTTCCGCTTGGCAATAAATCCTAGGATTTTTTCTTCATTCGAGTAAACATTTCGGAGAATATATTATTTTAAATGTTACTCTCTAGGCAAACTGTGAAGCTTGTTACTGCTGCTGAAATGCCCAAAGCGGCTGTTTTGGGCACTCAGTGCAACTCCGGCCATCATCCAACGCCCAACTTACATTCCCCCAGACAGACACACAAGTTACTTGCTACTCTCTCTACCTGTCTCTCTCTCTCTCACTCTCTCTCTCTCTCTCTGCCCCTCTCTCTGTCTCTTTTGGCATGCTTGTTGCCTGGTAACCTAGTTTAATAAATAATTCGCTATTTTTGCTTTTCTATTCTCTTATTTTATCTTTTGGATTTGTTGTATTTGTTGTTGCTGCTCTCTTTTTGTCTTCGGCAAGTCATTCATGTGTGCAATCTGTGGGTGTGACTAATTCAATTACAACGCCCAATTGTGCATGCCTCGGCGCTTGCACGTCGTCTAACATGCACCACCTACCCCGCCCCCTCAGCACCACCTATCCCTCCCCCATCCCTCCACACCTCTGGGTGTGTCTGTGTGTGTGTGTATGTGTGTGTGTGGAACACATTTGTAGACCGTGATTTTTCATTTCCATTTCACGCTTTCTATTTCCCTCTCTCTTTCACTTTTCCTCTCTCCTTATCCATGGATGATACCAGTGTTTAGGAAAATGTCTCTGTATGTGTGTGTGTGTGTGACTATGTGTGTGTGTGTGTGTGAATTACAATAAGGTCTGCTTTCTGGGCTGCTGAATTTCGCGCTTTTGGGTTGACAGTTACCCGCGTTCCGTGTCGCGCTGCCATTTAATTGTTTTTTGTCACACGAGTTATCCTTTTTGGGGCGTATCGTGTTCAAAATTGAAATTAACTGACAGCTCACGAATGCAGTCGCCCCTCATCTAGATATCTACTATTATATACTCGTATATATATATATATATATATCAGTATATAGATGGTATGCTTGGCTAATCAAAAATGATGCGCAGTCAGGCAAAGGAGGCGTGAGAGTTACGTGTGTAATGGTTGCCCGCTTGGTGGGCGTGGAATTGGGTGTTTATGAGTAGAGGTTGTTACCCAAGGGCAGCATTAGCGAATAGTACTTATAGAGGACAAACTGTTTGACATTGGATGGCATCGATTAAAGAAACGCGAAAGAGAGACAAATAAAACCATTTCAAAAGTGTGTTAAATAAATTGTTGCGGACTATAACTGTACATCATAATATATATATATATATAAAAGATATGGATAGCACAAAATTATTATATCTAGAAAATAATGAAATATATATTTATATATATATCTGCTTTTACTGCCACATTTGAACTCTCCTGCCACATTTCAGTTTGCCACAGCTACAAATATTAACTAAATAGAAATATGTGTGAAAATAATGAAAATATAATTTGGACCATTAAAAATGGTGAAGTGGATGCTGTGCAAAATGCATTTGACAACTCGAATCGCAATGTTAATGACTTAATTGGGGAACGAACTCCATTGCATTATGCCGCCGACTTTGGGCAACTGAAGGTGCTCGAGTATCTTGTGCAGATCGGAGCCGATGTCAACAAGCTGGATAAGTATGGCATAACACCCTTGCTGGCTGCCATCTGGGAGGGGCATACAACATCCGTTGAGTATCTGCTGCAGCATGGAGCCAATAAAGTGGGTACAACGCCCACTGGACAGAATTATGTGGAGGCAGCGGAAAAGGATGAAATCAAGCAAATGCTTGAGAATATCAATACGGAATAAAAACGTTAATTATTGAAGAAGTTCAAAGCAGATTTGCTGTCTATTATATTTATCGATTTTGTTGCGAATTTTGTTGTGTAAAATATAGTTACTTTTGTCAAGTATTATTTTTGCATAGCTCAATCTGGATGCAATTCCAAATTTCTATCTTTGCACAGCTCGATCTAAGACCATCTTTGAATTTGTAGTAATTCTTGGAATACGGCACTACAAACTGAGAGCTATTACAAACCTGATAGAATTCTCACAGCCGCCGCTGCTGGCAACTCCTCAAAGCTATAGATGGGCTTGGAGAACTGAGTTGGGCCTGAGCTGCTATCGACACCCAAGCATCTTGATGATCTGGCTGCAAAGCGTACTCATTGCGAAACGTGATTTGTAAGGTCATCATTCAAAAGGCATCGGCAGTGCGACAAACAGACAGACAGACGGAGAGACAGAGAGACAGCCGGGCAGACAGACAAATCCAAGAAGAAGAAGAAGAAGGGGAAGGCAACAAACCCAGCAGCAGCCAACAAAAATTAAAATGGTTATACATTCATGTAATTTAACGAACTGGCCACAAAACTAAACTAAACTAAAGAGAATCTTGCAACGTCTTTCTGACTCTTAAAGATGCAGCAATGTTTGTTGCAGTTGAGGCTGCTGTTGTTGCTGCTGCTGTTGCTTCTGCTGCTGCTGCTGCTGCTGTTGCTGCTGTCGTGGCGATATTGGCGATGCCAAGCGTGAGATTATCGACGATTGTATGCGGCGATGATGATGCTGATGAGGATCAGGATGAGGCTCAGGCTCTGCCACAGCAACAACAACAACAAAGGCGACTGCCTCCTCCATTGGCAATGGCCCTGGCCATGATGTCGATGGCTCCTGTAAGCGGCAACAAAACAATGCAACGCGCAACTGCAACTCAAGTTCACTTTTCATGCAGCCGAGTTTGGGGGCAGTGGCTGAGGCAGCTCCAGTCATTGACTTCAGTTATCGCACGCCAAAAAGACAAAACAGTTGCATGCAACAGACAGACAGACAGACAGACAGATAGACAGACAGACAGGTTGGCAGGGCAGAGAGTCAGCGAACGCGCTATCTGCATGCGATCAAATTTCCAGGGCTTCTGTTGCGGACAGCTTTTGGATATTGCGGCACAGGCACAGGGCATTGGGTACTGGGTACTGAGTGGCAGGCACTGTGCGGCAGGCACGGTGTGGCAAGCACTGTTGCTGTTGTTGTTTAGGGACCAACCGGCGATCATATTGAGCGCGTCTGCTTTTGACATTTCGGACACAATTTGAACCTTTTACTTTTATTTCGGGGCCAGAGAGTAAGCCACGATTTCCCGCTTAAGCGCAGTTCCAAGAATCGAGAACATTGTGGACCCCTCCTCTCTTCTCCTGCTCCCTCCTCCACCCATCAGTCCCCCTTTTGTCCTCCAATGTCAGTGCTGACATTGATTGAGAAATTGATTTAAGCATCGCTTTTTATTTTTGCAGCACTGATTTTGATCAGCTAAAAGCGCACACTCTTCATTCGACTGATTCGACTGTCAGTCTGCCACGCCCCCTCCACCCTCTATTTTGTTTTTCTTAACAGTTTTGATTTAAAAACTTTTTGATTTAATTGCCAGCCAAATGTTAAACTTGATTTATATTGTGCATTTAACTCGCTAAGCTTCCAACTGCAAACGCAACTAAATCAATTTAAATCACATGCATCATGTCGACCCCTTCACCCCCTCCCTCTCCCGATCCCCAACCCTCGACAAGCACACAAGGTCTGTGGAGAGTTTCCATGTCCAATTTAATGGAAAATGTAATTTACAAAATTTTATGAACTTTTGCACAACTACAAAAACTGAAAATGCAAAAGCGTTTCATGCAGATTGCTTTGGTTGGTTTTAGTTGTTGGTGTTTCTTCTTTTTTTGTTGTGCAACAAAAAGTTAGTTTTTGGCAAATATTGCTGCACATGGTTGCTAATGACAGATGTCAGTATAGGTTTATTTGTGCACAGGAGTACCCCAACTTTGTTTTGGATAGCCCCTGCCAAAAGGTAAAGTGTTTAAAGGTCGCCAAAGTTGATTTTGCCTGACCCTTGCCTCTGGCCAATTGTTGTAAGTGTGAATGATTCAAAACTAAGGCAGAAATACATTTTGAAAAGTGTTGGCAAAAGTTAGAAATGAATGCGATAATGGATTAAAGTACATTTGTCTAAATCTAATCTTATATAATTTGAAAGTTTCATTCTCTATTTGGCTGTGGATAACAAATCAAATTGCATGCCACATTATTTTAAGTATCTCTCTAACTGACCCAGAATGTTTATTCATATCTTTTTTGTTGGTTTCAGTTTCTAAAATGCTAAATTAAATGCTGAACATTACAAAAGACATTAGTCAACTCAAACATGTAGTTGTTGAAAACAAACTTAGAGATACATATCAAATGAATAACTAAAAATATTTTGTTATGCTCATTAGAAGCGAGAAGAAGCAGAGGCTGAGACTGGGACACCCTTGAGGGTTAGTGGAAACTCGGAAAAGTCAGGAAGACAGCCAAGTTAACAATCAACACTCGCTAGCTCTCAAATAATTTATAATGTCTTAATTATTTCCTCAACTTTGAAATGTGGTCAACAAATTGTTTATGAGCTCGACGACTAACATGAAAACACTTCCTCCTTATTAAAGAAGAAGAAGGGGGCGGGGCTAAGGGGTTGGGGGTGGAGTCGGAAAATGATATGCAGCAGATTAAGCAGATGTGATAATTTGTTCGTTACCCATTACCGTTGCGCTCCAGTGCGCTTAATAAGGCGAGCCCAAAATATAAGACAAAAAACGAATTAAAAAAATACCAGCCAAGATACGTACTATATATATATACTATATATATATATTTGTCGAGTCGGGGGCCAAACTACTAAATTGAAAATTAACATATTTCGGCAGTAGATGCTATCGGGACCAGACACAAAAACATTGTTTGCAAGCAGTAGTAGAAGGGGCAAGGCAGAGGGCAGCAGGCAGGCAGGCAGCACAGCTCCCAAAGGTTAATTTAATTTTCCATTTTCCGGACGCCGGCAGAAGCAAAAAGGGAAATTTTTCATTTTTTAAATTGATGGCACGCCGGATTCGGAGTCAGAGTCGGCAGTCGTTTGGCTTCCTGTTTGGCAATTGTCTTGGCACAAATCTCATGCCCACCGCAAATTGAAACTACAACATGGCATTGTCCTTAGCGATTGAATAAGAATTATGCCAAAGGATGCCACACACACACACTGACACACACACACACACACACAGAGACAGCTAAAGAAAACTCCGGCTCGAGACACCCAGGGAGAAGAGGTTCCATGTAGCTGGCTGTCAAGCTGTTTTGGAGCATTGTGATTAATGTGCTGCCGCTTGCCGCCTGCTGCTGTTGCTCCTTTTCCTCTTCCCTGCTCTCCTGTGTCTCTTATCTCTCTGCTTGCTGCTGTTGTTACTTCTTCGACTGCTCTTTAGCCTGCCTTTGTTGCCATTGTCTATGGCTCGTAACCATTTTGGCATGTTTGTCATTTGGGAAATTGTGCGGTAGCTGTTACAGCTAAAGACAAACAGGCGGCAGGTAAGCAACAACAGCAGCAACAACAACAGTTGCAGCATCAAAAACAACAACAAGTCTCCTGTCTCTGAAGTCTATTTGAGTTACTTCTTGGCAAACCGTATTCACATTTACTTACAATGAATAGCAACCAGTGTACAAGAGACTTATTTTAGACCTACATGATTCACTTTTGCCTTCTGTCTATCTGTCTATCTGCCCATCTGTCTGTCTGTCACTTTGTCTGCTTCTAACAATTACTTGCATTTTACATTTGGTAAGCCCACAGCCAGGCCTACCCTTGATATTGCTTTATTCAATTAGTTGCAGTAAAACACGAAACACAACATTCGACAATCGATAAGATCAATAAAATATAAGAACCTGTTTTTCTCGAAATTGATCGAGCAAACTTTTAACTGAATTACGTTTAAGTGTAAAGTGCAAAATAAGATAAATATATATTTAAAACTATGAATATGTTTTCCATTACCAAGTCCCTCTCTGCTGAAGTCTTGAAATATGAGCCGGACTTCAAATTTTATATATAAGTTATTGATACCATTGTGATGAAGTTTCATTAATTTTATCGATAACAGTCCCCGTTTCGCGAATGGTCCAATGGGTCTATTGATGTAAAATATACCCTGACATTATATTGATCAACTAAACAAATTTCATAAAGATCGCAACTGTTCCTAATTAATTCATTTAAGGTGCCAGCTTGTTTGCCAACTTCAGTGGAACTCTCACAATGCTTTGCATAAGAGTTTGTATATCCCCAGAGTGGAATTCCATTGTGTCAGCTTATCGCTCTCAAAAGCTTTGATTAATTTGAATGTATTATTTTCATAGGATATGTCTGCCACACTGGTTACTGCAATCTTTTATGAAACAGTGCCTGACTGACGTACTTATACCATTTACGTCATAAGCGATAAGAGCTTATTCTTATTATTACAAAGGCCAATTGCAAAACAATTTCGCTCCATTACGTCTATTTTGGAGTCTGTGCAGAATTCCACAGCCATTTGATTTCAATCCTTGCCATTAATATGCCAGTTGTGCCCCCCAAAGGCAACACCAAGACCCAGACAGAGACCGAGACAGAGACCGAGACCAAGGCTAAGACCAAGACCAAAACCAAGACCAAAACCAAGACATGCAGCAGCAGTTCAATGGCATTAACATCCTGATGATGACAACAACAACAACTACAATGATTGCCTTCTGTGGCTGGCTTCTGGCCTCGACTCTGCTCGGCTCTCTTACTCCTTGCCTAATATGAAGCAACACCATTAACAGCATGCAAATTAAAAGTACTCAACAACATATCAACTTCAGCGCTACCAGACTGCCAGGGATTGGCATTTAAATGCAGACTACGACTTGGCTTGCAACTTGGCTTGGCTCTGGTGGCTGTCGAAACAAAGACTAAATGCCTAAAATCCTAAACAGGGCTCAGCAGGGCAGACTTGGCCCTAAAGGGACCTGTGGAGAGGAGACTGGTACGAGCGGGACGGGGGGGACA